TTGTTTCTTTGCCAGAGAATAAGAGCCTTTACAATATTGAACATTGTCCTGCATGCCAATCGTTAGACACTGCTCACTCAGCTCTGCACAGCTGTAGGAAGTCAGACTTTTGTGTTGAAATTTCTGTTATCTGGCTCAGACCCAAAAGAACGGAGCCTTCCTCATCTGAAACCTCTTCCCTTAACAGTAGCTTTCAGACTTCGTCTACATGCCTAGACTCCTGACAGGTTTCCTCCTTGGATTTCAGTATGTAACTTGCCTAGTCTTTGCCCATTCCTGCCTTTAGGGCTGGATGCTCTTTTCCCCACTGTTTGTTGGGATCCAATAATCCAGCTCCTCTCAACCTTCTAGGTTGCTGATCCTCTCTACCTATTGAAACTATTACTAGTACATTGGATTCCTTGGCGAGTGATGCTAGACTGGAATTGAGCTAGGTTTGAGCACTGTTTTCTTAATCAGGGCCACTTTATTTGCTAGACTGGAATCGAGCTAGGTTTGAGCACTGTTTTCTGAATCAGGGCCACTTTATTTGGGAGTGTTATAGTAGGAAAAAAAACCCCAGTTCACTGGCCTCTGCATATGATGTACTTTTCCTCCCTGAAGTTGTGACCTCAGCCTAACTCTTAGATATCCCCATACAGATAAAATGTAAAGAGCAGTACACCAAGTAACAAATTAGATATGCCTATTTTTCTCTAAATATTTGGCTGTAATAAAGTACAAAAAAGGCATGGTTTTTTTCATGTAAATAGGGGAGATATTGTTACCATTATAGTAGCTGGAATGAGAATGCTGAACTTGTAGTTGCTATTTCTGTCATTTTCCTGAAATTTCTCAGTTATACTTTCTGAATATACCTTGGATATAGAAGGAAAAATTATGCACGTGTATACACAGATGCTTTGAGTTGGAAGGTGCAGATGAGATGGAGGTAGGGGAGATTCATTTCTCAGAGTGTGTTTTATGAGCTATAGAATCAGATAGGCATGAAGTCCCAATTTCAACACTTACTATTTGTGACTTTGGTTTTTTCTACTGTAAAATTAATAATAATCTACTTGACAGGGTTATGCTCACAATTAAATGCAATAATGTGCGTAAATTTTATGTATTGTAAATGTTCCATAGACATTTCACTTCTGACACTTTACTTATTCCTTCCTCCCTTCTTTTCTTCCTTTTTTTTGGTCATAAATATTTATTGTTGCTGAAGAACTTGTATGTTCTCTTTAGCTCAAAATTGAGAGATATGACCCCATTTTATTATTTTCTTTGGTCTCTGTGAATAAGAAATTCCCTACTAAATTTTGTGCTCCATTTCCTCAACAGAGCTTAAGAATTCTTTATCCCCTCATTTCTCTAACTTTTGTTCCCTGTTTCTGACTTGTGTTAAATATTTTGGCTTACTTGCACTTAGGTTTTCACTGCAAGTTGTCTTACTTTCTGTTTGGAAGTAGGCAGTTACTAAACTCAATTTACAAGTGTGATCTTGGAATTCCAATATTCTGATAATCATTCACAAATACTTAAAGGGAACTTGGGAAAGTTTTTCAACATCATTCTCTTCTCAGTATCCTTTTTAAATGTTGCCATCTCCTAACAGTCATTTTATTAGAAGTGATACCGGTTGGAAAGAATTACCTCAAGTTGGAGGTACCACAGTGTTCCCGAAGAAACCCTTTTTTGCACGGGAAGAAGATTTACAGATCTTGGCATGAAAGACTTGTTTAGGTTAAGTTATGTTCCTGTGATATTAGCCCTTAACTTATTTTAAGTCAGTTACATAGATCACTCAAATAAAACTCAATAGAAGTTAGTTTTCTGTAATTAAAGATCTTCCTAGCCCAGAACATTGGATGTCCTAAATAAGCCAGCAGCTTTGGAATCTGGGTTATGCCTAACTATAGGCAGTTTTTAGTCATTTTATTTTATTGATTTCTAGAGAGAGAGGAAGGGAGAAGGAGAGAGAGAGAGAAACAGATGTGAGCGAAGCATCAATTGGCTGCCTGCTTCATACAACCCAGGCATGTGCTCTGACCGAATCAAAGTGGCGATCTTTTGGTGCACAGGATGATGCCCAACCAACTGAGCCACACAGGTCAGGGCTAAGTAAAGGTTCTTTAAAAATGAGAGTTAGAGGAGAGGGATCTGTAGTGAAATAGAGGTAGAAGAACACTGAAAAAGAGTTGGTAGAATAGGGAAGTTTTAAGTAGATATTTATCTAAGGCACCCGTTCCTTTGGTCCCAACTGTGTGGCCTTTATTCCTTCCTACTCATGGTACCTTTTTTTTTTTTTTTTTTGGTGAGGTTTAATTCCTCTGCTAATTTACCTGACTTGGAACTTCCTCAAATAGCACTCAAATATTGGAATTTTACCATGCCAAGCAGATCTGGCTGCAAAAAACAGCTATGGCAAATACAGACCAGGACACAAGCTGGTTTAGTGACTGTTACAACCATTGCCACTGCTGTGTACACAACCTTCTTGTCTGTCATGTTCTGAAACTCTGAGGGTACAAAGCACCTTTTGCTGTGCATCTAGAGCCATTGTTTTATTGACTGAGTCTGAGTTCAAAGACCCTGGGGGATTACCCAGAATCATTTTCATGGCCTACACTTAGAAATGTAGTCCTCATTCTTTTAGCAAATATTTATGATCTACTATATACCAGGCACTATGCTAGGCATGGGAGACAGTAATAAATAAAACATGCTCTGAAAATATACATACTCTCAAGCCTTTCTCTAAATGCCCAGATTAAAAAAAAAATTAATAGGTTTAACCAGAAGTTCCTACACTCATCTTTTCATGCCAAATTCAGATATTTGTAATGCATGTTTATAATCCTAATGGTTATTTAAATGAACCCTTGAGGTAACAGTTACATTTCCTCATATTGACTGTTCTGTGGGCAGATTTTTAAAACTCCCTGAAGTTTCAGAAATTGTTTTCAAGGTTGGTAAAAATCCCACATCTTTATTATGCTGTAAGTCACTTGAATATTATGTAAATACAAGATTAATTTCTCTTTGCTTAAATTTATGTAGATAAAACTCTTTGGAATGCTCAAATTATGTAAGATGAATGAGACATTTTTTTCTTTTATGTGAGTATGAAATGCTTTCTGTGATTGTTAAATCAACTCCATATATTAGGACCCAAACTTTCCAACAAGAATCACCCAACAATTATAAAGCAAGATAACATTATTATATCAAAGTAAAACTCTTTGCAGAAATTACACAGAAAACCAAAATGGAAGTAATTAGCTATCCCATAGCAAGCAATAGCAAACTTGATCAAAAATTAATTCAGAAGTATTTAAGTTATGTTAATCTTCCCTCAAATGTACATATGCTGACATGCATCTAAAGGGATAAGCATACAATATTGTTAATATTTGTAATTATGTAGTATGTTAATTCAAATTTTCTCTAAAACTTAGCATGAATATAAAATTTAGTAGTGAATGAATGCTGAAGTTAATGTAAGCCTTCATCTTCTAATTTGATATATGTGTGCTCATCAAAATAACATTAGTCTTATTAACTTTTTAATAAGTAAATCCTTAAATTTAAATATATCCAGGGTGAGGCAAAAGTAGGTTTACAATTGTGAGTATGCAAAACAGATTTTTTGTTCAGATATTACTATTTATTAATTATTATATTAGTTTCTATGTGAATACCAGTAAACCTCTGTTCATCAACCCTGTATGTTGACAATAAATTTTATTATTCCTGCATCATATTTAAAGTATTTTTAAAATATATATTTTATTGATTTTTTACAGAGAGGAAGGGAGAGGGATAAAGAGCTAGAAACATCGATGAGAGAGAAACATCGATCAGTTGCCTCCTGCACACTCCCTACTCGGGATGTGCCCACAACCAAGGTACATGTCCTTGACCAGAATCGAACCTGGGACCCTTGAGTCCGTAGGCCGCGGCTCTATCCACTGAGCCAAACCGGTTAGGGCCCTGTTTCAAATTTAAAACATGGTATTCAATACATGCTGTTTTTTCACCAGGATTGCAGTCTCCCTATGGGGCTTATACTTTCTAAGACCTGTTGGAAGAGAGCCAACCATTGAGTTTATACCAAGACCCTCTCTCCACTCCTTTCATAGTGTTTTAAACATTGTATTGCTTTCAAAAGAATAAAACTGTATTCTGATAGATACCTAATAGATATCCCTTATCCAGATAGTGCTGGAAAGATAATCTATGTTGTAATGAATGGCTTTTGGTTTGTTTTACATAGTGCAGCTGTACAGGCGAACATCCTAGAGGCAGGCTGAAAAGGCATATTGAGAAAGACAGTCTGAGAGTGGCAAATGGTTTTTCTAAACAGCAAATTAATCACATAAACAACTTTGATAATTGTGATAACTAACATTAGAAAATTTTCTGGAAAAATTCTCTGGGTCATTAAATACACATAAATGTTGACAAGTAAGGATTAATCAAAACACAAATTAATACTCCCTATGAAGCATTAAACTTCGAGCATGATTGTCAAATAGATTATGGAAGTAAAATGTTAACTCTTCGGTCTCTTCCTATAAAATGTGAAGTCTACAGCCTTACTATTTTATGATATTTTCTAATTCTTGTGGAATTGTTGTCTGCCGTGTGGGCATTCCGCATTTAATAATCATAAGTACTTATAAATTAGTAAACCATGCTTCTTGTTGTTTCTAGAAGATAATGCCCTTCCTTAATGGAATCTATAATTTTGAGGTCATCCCAGGTCATATTAGTTCTATGGTGATGATTTACTATGAAGGAATAGAAAATACACGTCTTTCATATTTCCTTGGCGATTCCATGTTTACTATTTCATGTTTAAGCACTGATCATGCTAGGTGGATTCTTTTAGTAGTTCTAAAAATATAAATATATAGAACCCTAGTCTAAGGCTCAAATGTTTTGCCATCTACTTTTTTATGTTATCGTCATGGGGCTGATGAAAAGAAAGAAGCGCTGTTTTGTACGAGGGCCTTCATATCTGGCCAGATGGTTGGCGAAGCAGACTATTGTGGAATCCATGACTAAGGACATTTATAAGCCCTGAGTAAATTAGTTTTCTGCATGTAAGTTTGCAACGTTTATTATATGGCTACATGAGTTAGGGGGAAAACAGATAAGCAGAAGAAAAACTTGCCATATGTATACATGGAGAAAAACATGAATCCTTCACCAGTTTTGGTACAAGCAAAGGTTTCTAAACAATGAAAGAATCCTCCCTCCTGCATCTTCCCCTTCCCTCTCCCACAGCTCCTGTCCCCATTTAACAGCATCACTGTGAGATGTTTCTTTGTTTTTAAAGGGACTTGTAAGCTTTAACCTGACCCAAATTAAGTGAGGGCCAAGGATGAGTGGGAATGTGAGTGATGGTGTGTAGGCGGAGGGGGCTGACTGCTTTTACATACTCGTCTTGGTTACCCAGACTCTGGACTCCCTCTGCTAATTCAGGGGTGCCTGACTTAAGAAGGTGCATCACAATATCTGAAAAGTGGTCTCAGGGGAACTCTTGAAACCCACTAGGATTTCTAAAGGTAACAGGAGAGATCTGCATCCTGAGAGACAATTTCAGGACTTTCCCCTCAGCCCTTGAATTGCTTGAGAGAGCAAGCGAGGGAAAGCGTGAACAGATATACCTATAGTGGGGTCTATTGAGTGCTTTGCAGACGCTTCTTCTAAAATAGATGGATTGTGGATGACCTAAGCTTGCTCGCAAAGTAAGGAACAGGAAACAGGGAGGTGCTATTTGCAAAGAAATGAAAAAAAAAAAGATTTAAATACCACCTTGTACTTGATACACCATTTTAAACTTGAGTCTACTTTTATGTCTCAGAAACATTGCTCATATATAACATCCTTTGATTCATTTGTCAACTTTATGTAAAGAATAGAGAATGGCAAGTCGCCTATTTTGCATATGTGGAAGCTGAATATAAATGCATGAAAGATTTTTATTTCTGAAAGAACTAAGTAACCGAACTTAGTCCAGGATTTCTTCCACTATTGTGCCTTAGCTGCCTCTCAGACTGGATTTCTAAAGTTGCTCCCAGTAGGATGAGATGCAAAATATTTCCCATTCATTTTATTTATTGGCTTTATTAATAAGTAACAAAGAATAGAAATGTAGCATACATGCCATTTTCATTTTGTACCAGTTAGAGTATTTGTTCCCCCAAAAGATTAGGCCTAGACAATAATGCAATTGTGTTCTAGAGAATGTTATGGCTGTATCAGCAATTATATAACATTTTGCAAAACAGCAGAAGTTCTCAAAATAGTTTTCTTCCTCCATCTATCAGATCTCCCTTCTGTAAAATGTATTGTTTCTCGTTACCCAGCACTCTGAGCGTTCCAGACACTGCTGTATCCCCTCACATTTCTACTTCTACCAATTGAGTTTTAAAGCAGCTGTGTATGTTTCGAAATCTATTTATGACAGCTGTACTGGTTAGTGGAATTATATAATTCAATTTTGTAA